TATGGTAGCCAAAATCGTCTCAGGAGGAAGAGGTGTTGGTATGGTTGTCAGCCGTTCTAAGAAGTGGTTGGTGTCTTTAACATGTGAAGGTAATTCTCTGACAAAAGGTTGCAGGTGAGAATCTACATATGCCGAGATTCTTTCCGTGGCAGAATTGCAACTGGCAACTATAGGTCGGCCAGGGGGTGGAAAAACGTTTTTGTGTATCTTGGGCAGTATGTAAAATTGAGGGGTAGAGGGGTTGTCATTTATGAGTAGTCTTATTGATTCAGGGGATATATTTTGGAGAGGTGCTTCTTTAACGAGCCACTGTGTGAGTTCAGTATTAAAATCGTTGGTTGGGTTTTCATCAATCTCTTTGTAGGTGTCTTTGTCGGATAACTGTTTGTAGGCTTCAGCAGTGTAATCTTGTTTGTTCATAATTACAGTGGTGGATCCTTTGTCAGCTGGTAGTATCATAATATTTCTATTATTTTTCAAGGATTTTAGAGCTGTTCTTTCTCCTGGAGTCAGATTGTCGTTTTTTGGCAGTTTCTTCAAGAAATTAGGGTCTGTGACAGTTTGCATTATGAAGTTTATGTACAGTTCAATCGGATGATCAGGTGGTAGAGGCGGTGGATCCCAGTTGGAAGGCGGTTTAAACTTCATGAGAGAATCATCGGGTTGGGGTTGGTTTTTTAGGGCCAACAAATCAACAAACAAACAAACAAACAAAACCAACCCCAACCCGATGATTCTCTCATGAAGTTTAAACCGCCTTCCAACTGGGATCCACCGCCTCTACCACCTGATCATCCGATTGAACTGTACATAAACTTCATAATGCAAACTGTCACAGACCCTAATTTCTTGAAGAAACTGCCAAAAAACGACAATCTGACTCCAGGAGAAAGAACAGCTCTAAAATCCTTGAAAAATAATAGAAATATTATGATACTACCAGCTGACAAAGGATCCACCACTGTAATTATGAACAAACAAGATTACACTGCTGAAGCCTACAAACAGTTATCCGACAAAGACACCTACAAAGAGATTGATGAAAACCCAACCAACGATTTTAATACTGAACTCACACAGTGGCTCGTTAAAGAAGCACCTCTCCAAAATATATCCCCTGAATCAATAAGACTACTCATAAATGACAACCCCTCTACCCCTCAATTTTACATACTGCCCAAGATACACAAAAACGTTTTTCCACCCCCTGGCCGACCTATAGTTGCCAGTTGCAATTCTGCCACGGAAAGAATCTCGGCATATGTAGATTCTCACCTGCAACCTTTTGTCAGAGAATTACCTTCACATGTTAAAGACACCAACCACTTCTTAGAACGGCTGACAACCATACCAACACCTCTTCCTCCTGAGACGATTTTGGCTACCATAGATGTAACTTCCCTGTACACTAACATCCCCCTTACACATGGACTTGCGGCTATAGAATTTTTCCTGGATCAACGCCCCAAAAACACTAAGCCCTCAACTTCTTTCCTACTGAACATGGTTAAGTTCATTCTAGAAAAAAACAATTTTCAATTTGAAGGTAGAAACTATTTACAAACTAAAGGCACTGCCATGGGTACGAGGATGGCCCCATCCTACGCAAATCTGTTCATGGGGAAACTCGAAAAATGTTTCCTACAATCCCAAAAAGTACAACCTTTGTGTTGGTTCCGGTTTATAGACGATATTTTTATCTTGTGGACCTCAGGCTCAGACTCCTTAAAACAGTTTATTGACAGCCTTAACAGTTTCAGTTCCCTTAAATTCACCAGCAACATCTCAACATCAACAATAGTTTTCCTGGACCTAGAAATAAATATTCAAGATGGACTCATACAAACCGGTGTACACTTCAAGCCTACCAACCATCTACAATATTTACATTTTAACAGCAACCACCCAAAGAACACCAAAAGATCCATCCCGTTCAGTCAAGCCATCAGGGGCAAAAGGATCTGCAGCAACGATGATGAATTAAACAAGTTCAATAACAAAATATCTGACGCATTCATAAAAAGGGGTTACCCTAGAAAGCTGGTGGAGAACCAAATCCGCTTAGCGCAAGACCATCCACAACCAAATAATGAAAAACGAAATAGCAAAAACATTGCTCTTGTCACAGACTACCACCAAGGACTACATTCATTGAATGGCATTTTAAAAGAGGGCTTCAAAATCCTCAAGGCCTCCAACCACACCATCAATTTTTTGAAAGATCCACCTAACATTGTTTTTAGACAACCACCCAATCTCCGAAAAATACTAGTCCACCCAAAAGTTCCTGACCCGGCCCACAACAACCCAAACAACGCACGCCCTAACGGTTCATATCCCTGTGATAACAAGAGATGTAAAACATGTGAAATAAATCAACCCAGCCAAACATTTTCCAGTTCCACAACCAAAGAAAACTACAACATCCGAGGCTTCAACACTTGTGAAACGAAGAACATTATCTACCAACTACAATGTAATAAATGTGAGGCACAGTATGTAGGCCTATCCACCAATAGCCTCAGAACCAGGATGAATGGCCATAGACAAGATGTATCTACTGGATACAAAGACAAACCAGTTGTACAACATGCCCAGAGCCACAACAACCCTAGTTTCAATGACTGCTTTACGACCAAAATAGTCAAATCACTGCCCCCTCAATGTAACCAGTCACAACTGAGAAGATGGGAATTGTCTTATCAATGGTTTACTAAGTCTAGACAACCCCCAAACCTAAACCTGAGATAATACCTTCATCTAACCCACTCCACTTCAACATCCAACCCAACTAGCAGGCTTACATATTTATTCATATATATATCGTGCATATAAGATAAACTGAAACTGTGTTTTTTGAATTCATATTATTGGCAACACTGACTCAACAACTCACTGGCCACCATTTTGGACATCTAGAAAACTATCTCTTCCTTAGTTGAAAATGCTGTCAGTGACAGTGAAATATTCTAATGTTTTGTGTATATAGTGTAAAGTTTTGTTTTGTGTTTCCTGTGCCAGTTTGGACTCTTTCCCATTCAGGTAAGCCTGCTATCCTCTCAAAAAATCCTAAGGAATTAATTTGTTTAATGTGATATTCTAAAATAGCGATGTTAGTGATTAATTAATTAATGTTAGTGATTAATACCGTATCGTAACTGTGGTATCAACATATTTACGATAAGGTATTGATACCAAATATCAGATGTTTGACTCTAGCCCTTGTGAGTCTACACTCAGGGCATGTGGATTACCTCCTTCTTTCTTCTTCATCGCAACCCACCAAAACCCTTTCTTCCTTAAGACCAGCTTCCTGTATAACCAAGTTCAGAAGAACTTTATTTCACTGACTTTTATCACCTCTAGTTTCTCTTCTACAATGAGATTCTTAGCTCTAACTTTTTGGTTCAAACTTCTCTTCATTTATAATCACTAGTTAGACATAGACATGATTTATTGCACAAAACATTCAATACATGTAGTAACATTAAGAATAGATGCATTGTCAAAGTGAACTCTGTACATAAGACATCAAACATATGTAAGATAACTTAAAATTTAACACTTGAAATCAAACAGAAAAAATAAATTCTGAAGTGGTGTACAAATCTTACAAATCTTCAATTATACTCTGTTGACAATATTTAGGCAGTTTGAAGGGAAGTTCCCCCACCACTTTTTTCTGCTTAATTTTTTATGTTGCAGCTGATTTACGTTTTGTCAAATCTCAGCGGTTGAGCTATGTTTTAGTGGTAGGATCAACACATGGAGGGGATAGATTTCTTCCCCTTAACCCAATAAATTTTGTGAACGGAATATAAATAAAAAGCTTTGTCAATGAGTAAATTATTCGTTGTCACTTTAAATTTTATTTTGCTCAATGACTTGAAACATGAAGGAAGCAACATTGTACAATCTTGCCCAGCATACAAGGAAGATTTATATATGGTTATATGGTATGCAGAAGTATCAAAGAAAAGTATACATAACTAGTAAAAAATTAATCATAATGCTATGTGAAAATGGTAAAGTGGTAGCAAATTAAGAAAGACTGGGGATATATTCCCAAGTGGTTCACAAGTTAGTGTAAATGAGGTGGCCACTTTTCTGAAACATGTTGATGGCGCAACTACGAGTGGTGAGACGATTGCACAAGGCACAGTTCGAGTCCTTTTCTCTCTCATATCCCTCCGTGTTACGTCATGGCACAGAAAACATACTACTATAACCCAGAATGCCAACTGCATGGTAAAAAGCATTAAGTGTTTTGAGAGAGCCTTGCCTGTCAATCCGTAGGCAGCGCTACCAGCGTTGCCATGCACTCAGCATAGCAACGCTGGTGGCGCTGCCTACGAATTGACAGGCAAAGCTCTCTCAAAATACTTAATGCTTTTTACCATGCAGTTGGCATTCTGGGTTATAGTAGTATGTTTTCTGTGGTCATGGTTGGATGACTTGTGCATTGCCTTGGCACACATTTTAAACCTTTTGATTTAAAATCGGCACAACTGAGTTTGTGTAAGTTCTAAATATAGATCCTGCACAGGTTTAACCTTAGGGCTTTATTGCTCTATGTTTCGTTAAATGCTATTTTCTTGTTTTGTTAACAGTTCAAGGTTTAAAAAATGGTGTTTAGGTATATAGGCATATTTGTAGAGATATTATATTATTCAGAATTGTGTTCCAACTACTATTGTGATTGTTAGTGTTACAACAACTATAACTATGTATATTGAGCTATAAAGAATTTTTCAATTCAAAATTCATTCAATTCACTTTACATCACTCTTTTACAGTAAATTAGAACAGCATTTTGCTTCAAACTTATGGGTACCAAAAAATAGCATAGCTTGAATTAGATTACCCATGATTCCTTGTCTCCTTTAAACCAAATTTTATTTCTGGGGTTTGTACAAGAAAATTGTCATGACGAGTTAATTAAATATATTAATAATTATTAACCTCCAGATGCTATAGTGACTGTTTTTTATGATTTTCAGGAGAAGTAAAAGTGATGTGCCCGTTGTGTGACAAACAGTATACGACTCAAGATATTCTAAATCATCACTTACTCAAAGTCCATTCTACAAACAAGCAGTTTCGTTGTGATCAGTGTCCCCGAACTTACAAGTATGCAAAATCACTCCGCATCCATCGGTTCAAACATCAAGGTATCGTATGTTCAATCCCTTCACTGTGGACCAAACTAAGCATTCCATTTCCATGTCAAGACAATAGTGATGTGTCAAAAACAAATCTCGAATCTCAAAACCATCAAAACTTTGGAGATTCGATAGGTGAGTTTCGAGATTCAAAAATTTCGAAATAGGAATTCACTTATATTTTTGAAAATGATGACATTTTTTGTGTCATTATTTTTGTTTATAACATTGTTTACAGACAAGCTGGTAGCAATGGAGCAAACACATCTCCATTAACACTAATGAAACAAGTAAATTGTATTCTGAACTGCAAAAGGCATCTTAAATGCTGGAACAACTGACAATTCAGTTTTGTATATTAATATTCAATATTCGTTAAACACAAAGAAATATTGACCACTAAATGTTCTAATTAATATAATATTCATGTATATTTAAGTGTCAAGAGTTTCATTTAATTTAATGTTAGTTATTTATAAAAAAATATGTTATTTTGGATTTGAAGTTTATCTGTCACATTAATTTATGTTATTATGTCTGGATCAGTAGTCAATCTCTTTCAGTTTTGACCGCATAATCATAATTAAAATGTTATCATTATCTGTATTTTTATTTTTTAGCAACCTAGACCAGGTTCCGTTACTAAAAAGTTTCGCAGTCAGGTTTTGAGTTTCGAGATTCGGGATTCGATTTTTTAAGTTTCGGTTTTGGTTTCGAGATTCGAAATTTCTGGTTTTGACCATCACTACAAGACAAGTTTGATGACAGGTACATGCCTTATTGATTTGACCAAGGCCTTCGACACAATTTCCCATCCCATTCTTTTTCATAAACTATATTACTATGGCGTTAGGAACCATGAAATAAACATCATTCAATACTACCTGGAAAACCGTAAACAGCAGGTCTTGATAGGAGATGATTATTCTGATATTTTGGAATTTAATGCTGGTGTTCAGCAGGAGTCCATTTTAGGACCTTCCCTGTTTTATTTTTATTCGACTTTAGTTTTAATATCCCAACTCAATCAATACTTTATGATGATGATACTACCCTTAAAGATGATAATATTTTATTTTAACAGTTGAGTACAATCTTAATCATGCCCTAAACTGTGCTAAATTCTGGTATAAAATCAATAATTTGGCTATCAATGAGGAAAAAACAGAATACATCTACTTTTCACTAAACAAAGATCCACCCACTAATGCTTATAAAACAGTCAAACTCTTAGGTATCCATCTTGACAACAGACTAAGCTGGGATAACCAAATTACACAACTTTGTAAAAGATTGGCTAGAATAACCTGTCTCTTGAGAAAACTTTGATCATGTGTGAGTTTTAATACTTTGTTAATGACTTACTACGGTTTGTTTCACTCACAGCTTATTTATGGTTTACGTCTCTGGGGTGGTTCACATTTAGCCCAGAAAGAATTTGTTTGGTAAAAGAAAGCTCTTAGATCCATGCTAGGATTGCAAGATCAAGAATCCTGCAGGGATCACTTTTCCAATTTAAATTTGCTTACACTGCCATATATGTACATTCTTTGTAATTTAATTCATATAAAAAACAACCCCTTAAAATTCTCCCGCTATTCTCATCCATACAACACGAGGCACAAAAATTACTTAGTCACACCTCAAATCAGACATTCAAAATCTTTAAATAGCCATTTTTACATCCAACATATTTTCTTCAACAAGCTACCCACTTGTTTTCGTAAACTACCTGTAAACCAATTTAAAAGAAAAATTACTGAGTTTTTAAAATCAAAAGCATTCTACACGCAGGAAGAATTATTTTTAAATAGTGACATTTTTGACATATCATGTTTAGAATTTAAATGGGATATTGTATATATTGAAATTAATAATTGATGTATGATCTATTTTTAAGTACTATTTTAACAATGCTTATTACAAAATCTTATGTTTAATGGCTGCAATAAATCTTATTGAATCTTAAAGTTATAGCCAGTTTAAGGATGGAAATGAGTGTAGTTGATTTGAAACATCAACAGAGTGCATGTAAATGACTGATCCAACTTTTTAATCAAGCTATTTAAAAAAAATAACTTATATTAAAAGGTTTAATCTTTTAGTTCACATCAGCTACCACCAAAACCCGAGGGAGGAATTGTAATGTTGGACTGAAGCACAATGTACGAGTGGTTCGTTCAACTATGGTCTTTTTATTAAAAATTAGCTACAGCTTGTCTATAGAGATAGGATTTTTGCTTCAGTGTCCAAAAGTTAATAGTTCAATGCCTGCCATACTGTTTACAATACATTTAACTGCAATATGCTACAGACAGAACATATTTGGGATTATGAGTGTGCCATTTTACTTTTGAATCAGTTTTAACCTTAACTTGTTGACGAGTATTTGCCAATCCACTTGAATCTCAGGCCTCTACGTGGATTGTATCAAATGCAAGGCGCAAAGTGATAACAGTACACAAGCGTAAACCGTTCTAATAAATGGTTAAGTGGCAGCGAGACATGAACCCGAGACATTGTTGTCATGGATTCACTTCTTTTTTCACTACTAACTGAGCCATTTTGTAGAAAGGGCATTGGCTTACATTTGTGTAAAGCTCTGTACTTAATTGCTTTCAATTTCTTAATTTAATCTATATTTTCTTTGTGGCTGATAATGTACCCTTGAAGGTTGACATAGTGTCCCATCCCCCTTCTGGGGGACAAGGGGGTTGGTAGCTGACTCACTAAGCTAGTTTTACTGCTACCCTAGACTCTCATGGTGGTCCACTGCCTCCTGGTGGAAGAAGTGGGCAGCAGTAAAATCATGTAGTTCACATACCACATAATAACAAAGCAACAAAATTAACCATAAATTAAGAAACTGATACAAATTTCTTCCCCCAAACAAGCTATTGAACACTAGACTTTCCTTACACCACGTTTACAGTTCACCCGCCTACCCTGACCTCCTCCGCTCTCCACACACCGTTCCCAGTATCCAACCATTCTCCGGATGCTCGCATTCTCCTCCTGTAGATCTGTTGGGTGACTCAAACTGGCACAACGTCGTTTGTCGACACCTCTCTTGCTCTCGTCACAGGGTCAGTCATTGGTCAACAATGGCCCTTCTTAGTCCTTAAGGCGGCGTTGTGAAGTTAAACTGCCTGGGGTCCTCCTTATGGGTCCTCTCGAGTCATCGGACAGGCTGGTCCGTCCGGCTAGCAGGGTTCGATTGTGGTCTCTTCGGTTGTCATATTTGATAGTCGAGCCTCCATGTCTTCTTCCTGTGCTACATATTGTTGTAGCATAAAGGTTATATGATGGAATGGCCTCTAGATCGTCTGAATAAACTAATATAGGTTCAAATTACCTGTTTTCTGTCAAAACGATCTACTTGGTAGTATGATGACTGCAGCTGTTTCGTGCTTTTTAAAAATAGCACATCTTAAGGTCAAGAATGTCTTGCTAATCCCTCATGTGCAGTTCGTCAAAAATATAAACAAATAAATAAACGGGGGACACATACGAACATGACACACACGAAAATACATTTAATTAACTGGTCGACCAGACGCTGATTCACGCGACACGGCGCAGGTAGAAGGTAAGTCGCGACTGTCACGTGTCGGCAGCGTTGACCCCTACCCCTGTGCTATCCTTATCTCGTTCTTTTCTTATCTGCTTATTGGTGATATGGATGGCGGTGTTGTAAATAATGTTGGATTCGAATGACAATTTCTCGTTCAGGATGTTTTGTGGTTGACTTTTTGATGCTTTATAAATTTCGTACTCTTCAACAGTGTCCATGTAACGTCCTTTGCTGCAAAAATGTACTGTATGATTGACACTATTGTAATTCTTAACGAATTAACAATAAAGAATATTGTATTGTATTGTATTGTACTACTTCTAAGTTATTATGTATGTTGGTGTAATTGTGGTAGGAGGAGATAAGGTGGTTTGCGTAGGCTGATTTTGAGTTTTTCTTTGGTATGTGTTCTTTAAACCGAGTGGAAAACGATCTTTCTGTCTGACCTATATAACGATTAGGACAATCATCACATATCAATTTGTAAATTCCAGTTTTATTCATTTCATCAGAATCAGGTTTTATTCCCTCATTGATCAGGTTTGAAAGTTTGTTCTTTGTTTTGAAAGCTACTATGACATCTCTTTTCGCGAGTTTGTTTGTTAAGGTGTGATTTAATACAACACCATAATCTGCACTAATGTATCTTTTGTTGCCTTGATGTTGTTTCTTGGTTTTATTCTGTTGTTTATTAATCAGTCAATTAGGGAACTGTTGTAACCATTGGTGACTTTGATGTGTTTTAAGACATTTACTTCATTGATGTAATCAGTTGGGCTCAATGGGATGGAGAGTAGGCGGTATACAAAATTGTTATAAGCAGCGATTTTATGGTTATGCGGATGGTGTGATTGTGAATGAATAGTCTGGTCTGTGGTCGTTGGTTTTCCATAGATTTTGAACTGTAATTGGCTATTGTTTCTGGTTATTGGCACATCCAGGAAGTTGTTGGATGATGTATTTTCTATTTCGAGGGTGAATTGTAGGTTCTTATGTATTCTTTTTAGGTATGCGTGGAGTAAATTGAGTTGCCTGCCGTTACCTTTAAATAATACAAGAGTATCATCCACATACCTACTATAGTAGAGTAGATTATTCTTTGTTTGTGTCGGTTTGAATCAGACCAGAGATATTTATTTACTGTTATTTAAGAATAATTCGGATAGAATGCTTGAAAGAGGTGATCCCATGGTCAGTCCTTCATTTTGGATGTAAAACTTGTTTTCAAATTTGAAATAATTTTGTTTTAGAACAGTTTGAGTTAGAGTTATAAGTTCATGCTTAGGTTCTACTTTTAAAGGTTATGCTTAAATCTCTTTGAGGGGTTTGAGGTTTTGTGATAAGATTTATTTTAATATTAAGTATGTGGATGAAATATCCTGAAATAATGAGTATGATTGTAAAAATTATTATCCAGCCTAATAAGATATACATC